GGAAAAAAGCTCACACTAAATGTACATAAACATTAAACATGTTTTCGTTTAGTGATGTTAACTAATTATTTTTTCTTATTCACACAGTATACAATGAATTATTTTAATTTAATGCATTTTTTTAATCTATTGAAAAATAAATTAATAAATATCCAAACACAAAGTTTTATTGTTTAAACTAAACCGTTACAGCTAGTGTGCAATTCATAGAAAAGTTAGTAGGTATCCGCATTTTATTAAATTATTTATTTGATTATACATGCAAGTTGCACAATCACCACATAATATAAGATTAAAAAATAATGAATGAACTTATTTTTAAAACAGTTTAGCTAATATTTTTTTTTCTTATCACATTTAACTTTGATAGTACTGTAATTAATATATTGTTTGAAAATTACTAATGTTCTTAACAAAGTTTTTTCCTAACTCGAGTTCATTTTTTCCACGATCACTTTTATGAGTAACTCGTCCATCCAAAAGTTGAAAGTTAACACAAAATATWATAGTTACTTCCAAACCCAAGCCTGGCTTTCAAAATAATAAACGCACAGCTTCTGTCAACGCGCTACACGATAAAACCATACACCATAATGTTACCAATTACCATAATATTATAATAATACACTATAATACGAGTATTATATATCTGCTTGGTTTGCAATGGACGAATAAGTACGGTTTCATAATATTCTCAGTTGCAAACAACTGCACAGAGTTTTTATTTTTCACGCATTTTACTCTTATAATAAAATAGCAGGTAGTTCAATTGAATGGAAAACTACAGATATTGTAAGCGTACCTACACTCGAAAATTCTGTTYACTATCGCCAATATATTATTGTTCTAATAAATAATAACAAACAGAAAATCGTATAACTATTAAAGTTTATCTGCCTGTGACATTTTAATAGATATGTTTAGAATTTATTATATTGTTTACAGCCTTACTTGTGTCGAAGGAAGTTGTAGCGACGTGCAATTACTCGTACACTGTGATGGCATGTTTGAACAAGCAGTTGGATCTCGACAAGTTAACTTGAAACTCGTAAGTGTCATTTTATAAAGTGCCCACCATTACATTATTGCATATATTGTTACACTAAAGTTTAATATTTGTATTATACACTTAATATAGTAATAGTGTTGTCAAATTTCAGATATTTCTAAAAGGAGATTTCCAAGAAGATTCGATAAGTTTAATATAATTTCAATACAAAACCTAAACATGTCCATTTTCTACAGAATTTCTCTTGGAAATTTCCCTATAGTACTAACATCACTACCTAGGTATATTATAACATATAAACGGCATATTATTTTAATATTGTTTCCTCTGTTTCCAGTTGAGCATATTGAAGAGTTAACCGAGTGGACCGAAACCAGAGTCAAACGTACCTCCTACATATTATTTTTTCATCTTAAAATCATATTATTTATATTTTAATGATAACTCTAACACTTAAGCACTATTTAATAATATTATACAATAATATAGTATATTGTTTGACATAACAAACATACATAATATTTTATATTAGTTTTTGGTTGTCACACTTTAGGATTTAAATGACATTTTCCGGTTTCCTTGATCCGATGGCGATCACCTTGACACGTTTATGTATCGAATCAAATTGTAAAATAAAACATCGGAAAAACAATAATAATTATATTACATTATTAACGTTTTAATAAAATGCTATAATTCAATTGGTTAATGACGATGACGTGGCGTTTTATTTTGTCGCTAAAACAATTATTGTTCTTGGAAACAATATAATATAGTTATAAAATTATGTATATTCATAATGCCGATATCCGCTTGGAAGTGGAAATTCCGTATATTTAATTGTTATTACTACCTTTTCTCCTTTTTCCTATTTATCATTACTATTTTATTTCGATTTAGCGGTATATAAACACCGAACTAGAGTAAAACGAATTATTCTGTCGTCAAACTCTATACAACTTACTGCGGTCTATGACAAATCGTACCTGTAAAATATTACCACCATAATAATACATCGTTAATTCGTACAACATCGTACCTATACACTTCAATATTAAACGCAAAAATGTTCGCTCTTAAAGTGGCGTGTCTGTGCTTATCCGTCGCCGTCGTTTTCGTAAGTTCAACATTATACCTTTATTATACAACCTTTGTTTATAAAGCATCTGTGTTGTACCTACATACATATTATTATTATTCGGTATTGCATTATTGAACAATAAGTCACACATTATTGCTGGTCGTTGGACTACGCATATTAAAGTATGCCTAATTGTACATAATAAAGTAATATAAAAACAATATTCTCAGAGCTCAGTTTAAATGTATTTGAATCGTTTATTCGAGTCGC